ATATATATACACATATATATCAATATACACATATATATATATATATATACACATATATATCAATATACACATATATATATATATATACACATATATATCAATATACACATATATATATATATATACACATATATATCAATATACACACATATATATATCAATATACACACACATATATATATATATATATATACACATATATATATAGTATACACACATATATATATATATATATATATATATATATATATATATATATCTCAATATATATATGTGTATATATATTGATATATATACACATATATATACACACATATATATACATCTATATACACATCTATATATCTATATCTATATATATCTATCTATCTTTATATCTATCTATCTTTATATCTATCTATCTTTATATCTATCTATCTATCTATCTATCTATATATATATGCACATTTTTCTGCCTTTGTTTATGTATTTTTTATATAAATTTACCATTTATGTATTTATTTATTTATACACTGTATATATGCATTAATGAATGTATATGCATTTATGTAATTGTTTATATATTTACTATTTGTGTATGTATTTATTTGTATATTTATTATATGCATCATTTATGAATGTATTTATGCATTTGCTTGCATGTTTGACATTTCAAACAGAGTTGCTGATTATTTGTTTAACAGTTATAACTTCCCATCTGGGGTTTTGATGGAAATAGATAAAATAAATTAATAAAAAAATAAAAACTTTAGCAGCAGAATAAACATTTAATAAACATGTTTGAACAAATAGACAAAAACAAACAGTTGTGTTTTATTACTTTGTTTTAGAGAGAAGTATTATTGGTGACCTGGATGAGCTAAAACTGCGCAGTGAACCGATTCAGCTGATATGAAGCACATCAGCAGCTAAAGTAAATCAACAGTGGCTAAAATCTACAAGTGCATTGAAGAGTTCTTCATGTTCAGGAGAAAATTATATTTTTAAATATTTTTTAACAAGTTAAATTAAACCTTAAGACCTGAGCTGAACATGTCCATGTGTTAAAACAGCTAAAATATAAAATACGAAAATTAAAACTCTTAAAATTTCAGTTAACTTTATTTATAAAGCACATTTCAAACAGCAGCTGTTTCCAAAATGTTGAACAATAAAAATTTATGGAGTAATTTCATATAAAAAATGGAAATAATGATAATGAAAAATTAAAAACCTCAAAAGAAAAAACAGAATAAATGGAATGAGAGAAAACAGATGTTGCTGCAGATATTGATCAATAATCAATAAATAATAAATGACTGGCTCATTGTTCAGATTAAACTGTTATGAAACTAAATATAGATAAATATAGAATATAGTTATATATATATATATATATATATATATATATATATAACTTGGATGTGAACGTTTTTAAAAAGTCCATCCATGCCCCCTCCCCCAACACACGCGCACGTACACACACGCGCGCGCCCGACCCATTAGAGACCCATTAGTTAAAGCATCACACTAATTGCTCACTTTGTATGTAAATATTGGACACGTTGTTGGGACGGGGGGGGGGGGGGGGGTCATTGAAGAGCCGGGGGGGTCAGTTTGATGATGGGACAGCCTCTGTTGTCAGTTGCCACCCAAGACGTGATTCAGCTCCAACACCCCCCCCCCCC